ACTGTACATGTACATACAACCTACCTATATACTGTACATGTACATACAACCTACCTATATACTGTACATGTACATACAACCTACCTATACACTGTACATGTACATACAACCTACCTATATACTGTACATGTACATACAACCTACCTATATACTGTACATGTACATACAACCCACCTATATACTGTACATGTACATACAACCTACCTATATACTGTACATGTACATACAACCTACCTATATACTGTACATGTACATACATACATATACATATTTTGCCGGGAATGGGGCTGTAATAGTGGTCCTTTGGATGGATAGGTTAGAGGGGGGCGGGATGGAGGTCATATTTTGCCTGGAATGGGACTGTAATAGAGGTCTCTGGGGTTTAGGGATCCGATGATGTGAGCAGGCACACATGTTCAGGGTCCGCTTCCCATACACGTGCACCCCCCGGGGTAGTGAGGTCCTATTAGAGGACAGCTTGTCGTATGTACATAGAGGATGCCACAGAGGGGCAGGTAATAAGCTCTCTGAGATTTTCCGGGTATAGGGTGGCATGTGACTTCCTCCTAGGGAGCAATGCTCGGGCCTAAACCTGGCACATGGGATTTCTGATCTGCATGTGTATTCCGGGCCTCCAAATACAGGGGGGCCCGCCGGGGTAAACCAGAGAAATCACTCAATTCCTACATTGGACGGAGACATCTCCCCTCCTGGCTATTGTAGTCCGCAGCGGTCAGAATACACGCACAGTGCTTGCATCTCATTGGCTGCAGTCACAGCCTTGCTGACTTATGTTCACCTGGCCACTTTCAAAGTTTACCGGGTGGTGTTGATGGGGCCACTGATGACTTGAATTTTGAGCCATAGGTGGGCAGCTTAAGATTTCTGACCCTTACCCCCCTCCCTTACCGCCTGTATCTTGTATGTGTCCTCTGCTGGCCATCACCTGACAAGAACCAAGAATGTTATTTGACATGCGTGGCTTGGAACGCACACATTGTTCCATATTCTCCATGATCCCCCCCCTCTTCTTTCCCTTCCTTCTTTCTCCTTGGATCCCGCACTCTCTCCGGCTCTAGGAAATAATCCGCCGTCCTCCTGTTCCAGAATTAGCTAAATTCCCTCGGAAGAAGAGAAATGAGGCTTTGCAGTAATGGAGGCAGTCCTAATCTGATGAGAGCTCCATTTGTGCCCAGTCTCCGGGCAGATCTGCCCCCCCCCGCCTGGAGACTGAAATCAGTGACAACGTTGGTGCATCTTCCATCTTCCTTGTCCCCAAAAGTGATATTTCATTGTCTGGTGGATGCTAAAACATCATACCTCCGGGAGTCATGCCTGTAACTGTCAGAGGCTTGTAGATCCACAACAGCTGGAGTGTCTAGCTTGCCTACCCCTGAGCCAAATAGAGCAAAACTGTAAGTCCCTCCAGTCATCTTAGACTTTATATTCAGGCTCTTGTATTATCCCAGTTGTGACAGGTTCCCTTTAAGCTTAAAGTTGAACTCTGGACAACACAGATATACGTTGCAGCCTGTCACTGGCATGCACATGGCAGCTCTTGTTTTTCTACTAAGTCCTCCCTGCAGATATCGATCCTGCCAGGAGAATCACTCCTCATTTCCTTTACATGGGTGACAACGCTGATCATTCTGCAGCAAAGTCGCCCAGCTGCGTTGTCACTCTGGTAGTGCATAGTGTAAGTCTTACAGGGGCAAGTAGTTTTACATGGACTTTTAAGTAAAAGGCAAGCAACCTAAGGGTGCATTTGCACACCTCTGTAATCCGTGCACATTTTCTCATGTTTCATCCCTCTGAGGACCTTACAAGTACATAACAATACCTGTTGATGGGCCAGAAATGCATTCAGCTGATGTGGGCCGATCACAGGGAAGGCAATGTGTAAGCAGATAAAACTTCAGTTTTTCATGCAGATTTTAACGATTGTTGAACTCACTTTGTCCCTTTCAGATGAGTCTTCCTCCGAGAGCTGCAACGGGAACACCTTTTCTGTAGCCAACCCATCCAGCGCCCCCCCCAGCTCCTCCCAGAACTGCACACTACCTGACATGAATGGGAACCCCCCTGCTGCTGCCCTGGAACAGACCACCACGTCAGGGGAGCAGCCCATCAACCTCAGCGACAAAGTCCGGCCTTCCGCGGGGGTCCCGCCATATCCGTCTGATGCCGAGGCCCTGCGAAGCCGCGGGAAGTATGCCCTGAAGGCCACCTCTGAGGTAGGTGCTGATCAGCTATGTTGTGGGCAATGAAGAGGTAAACCTTTATGGGATCTGAAGATGCTAACTGCCTACCTACCTTCAGTGCTCTCTGAGCCACTGACCCAGTTTTTGGGAATCAAAGGTAGAGGGTCAGCCTGACAGGCAGGCAACTTGTTGAAGCAAGTCATGGGAGCCCTTGGGTCCAGTAGTATAGGTCACTGTAGACCAGGGGTGCCCACAATTTTTGTCTTGAGATCTACTTTTCAAAACGACGAGTTCAATGAGATCCACCAACGAAAAAAACACCTGCATTTAAAAAACAAGCACATTAAAATCGTTACTGGGACTACTGCCGCTCTCTCTCTCTCTCTCTCTCTCTCTCTTCCCTGGCTGTCTCTCTTCTCTCTCTCTCTCTCCTGGCTGTCTCTCCTCTCTCCTGGCTGCCTCTTCTCTCTCTCTCTCTCTTCCCCTTTCTCTCTCTCTCTCTTCCCTGGCTGTCTCTCTCTCTCTCTCTCTTCCCTGGCTGTCTCTCTCTCTCTCTCTCTTCCCTGGCTGTCTCTCCTCTCTCTCTCTCTCTTCCCTGGCTGTCTCTCCTCTCTCTCTCCTGACTGTCTCTCCTGGCTGTCTCTCCTCTCTCCTGGCTGTCCTCTCTCTCCAGGCTGTCTCTCCTCTCTCTCTCTCTCCTGGCTGTCTCTCCTCTCTCCTGGCTCTCTCCTGGCTGTCTCTCCTCTCTCCTGGCTGTCTCTCCTCTCTCTTGGCTGTCTCTACTCTCTCTCTCCATGCTGTCTCTTCTCTCTCTCTCCTGGCTGTCTTTTCTTACTCCTGGCTGTCTCTTTTCTCTCCCTGCCCTTGCTATCTCTCCTCGCTCGTCCTCCTGGCTGTCTCTCCTCTCTCTCGCTCTCACCTGGCTGTCTCTCCTCTCTTTCCCTCCTGGCTGTCTCTCTTTGCTCATCCTCCTGGTGTGTCTCTCCTCGCTATTGTTCCTGGCTGTCTCTTCTCTCTCTCTCTCTTCTCTGACTTTCTCTCTTTCCCTTTCTTCTGACTGTCTCCTCTCTCTCTCTCCTGGCTGTGTCTTCCTCTCTCTCTCCTCTGACTGTCTCTCCTCCCTCTCTATCCTTGCTGTCTTTCCTTACCTGCACTGCAGCAACTTCCTGGCTCTTCTCTCATGTACGCTGTCCTGTCCTCCTGCGTTGGCCGAATGTGTCCAATGCTGCAGACTGGGAGGTGAGTCCTGCCCTGCACTGGTGATGGTGTGGCCGATGCTGCAGACGGGGAGAGTTGTCCTGCACTGGTGATAGTGTGACCGATGCTGCAGACGGGCAGAGTTGTCCTGCCCTGCACTGGTGATAGTGTGGCCGATGCTGCAGACGGGCAGAGTTGTCCTGCCCTGCATTGGTGATAGTGTGGCCGATGCCGCAGACGGGGAGAGTTGTCCTGCCCTGCATTGGTGATAGTGTGGCCGATGCCGCAGACGGGGAGAGTTGTCCTGCCCTGCATTGGTGATAGTGTGGCCGATGCCGCAGACGGGGAGAGTTGTCCTGCCCTGCATTGGTGATAGTGTGGCCGATGCCGCAGACGGGGAGAGTTGTCCTGCCCTGCATTGGTGATAGTGTGGCCGATGCCGCAGACGGGGAGAGTTGTCCTGCCCTGCATTGGTGATAGTGTGGCCGATGCCGCAGACGGGGAGAGTTGTCCTGCCCTGCATTGGTGATAGTGTGGCCGATGCCGCAGACGGGGAGAGTTGTCCTGCCCTGCATTGGTGATAGTGTGGCCGATGCCGCAGACGGGGAGAGTTGTCCTGCCCTGCACTGGGGATAGTGTGGCCGAAGCTGCAGACGGGGAGAGTTGTCCTGCCCCTTCCCGACTGCTGCGTCTGACACATTCAGCCAAGCTAGCGCAGCGGGAGGGAGCTCAGGACAGTGAGCCGATCACGATCTACCAGTGTTTGCATTCTACTGATAGATCACCATTGACCACATGGGCACCCCTGCTGTAGACCATCGCCTGACCTGGCTGATAAAGATTGCATTGGGCATATGTTTGTCTGTGGTGACACCCTGCTGGCTTCTTGCTCCCTTAGTAATGTCTTTACTCCTATGGCACGGGGACTTTAGGATTGCAGATGTCACAGACCCCACCTCCTCAAGTGGATATTAGGTCTTTTGGGGGTCTGGCTCCTATTGGCCCTTAACCGACTTGTAGGCAGCTTAAATGATTATAAAATGATTACCCTTATGCACGAAATATTTGCCTTTGCCCTATGTGAGTCCTCTGTTATATACAGATTTGTAATATCCCTATAGAAATGACACATGTCCCCTTATATCCTGACAATGTAGACCAGCTGCTGATGGCTTATGGGCCTAGCTAGGTATTCCACCATTGAAATGGCACCATTGACCCTTCCCCAAATCCACTAAAACCTTATCCTGCACACATTATTCTACCTCCTTTCTTAGGTGAATCGATGGACATTTTCCTTACCTCCTGTTTTTTTTTTTGGGGGGGGTTATCAGTCCCCTCCGTACAGCTCAGGAAGTTACGATTCCATTAAGACGGAAGTGACGGAAGTAAGCGGCTGCGCAGAGGACCTGTCGACGGGCAGAGCTGCGGCCGTCGATGACGACGACGACGATGACCATGAAGATAACGACCGCATCACAGACACGGAAGGGCTGGACCCTGAACGTCTGAAAGCTTTTAATGTGAGTGACAGGTCCTCTTACCTGTATGGGGGCATAGGATGACCCTTTAATGTTCCTGGTACTTCAAGCTGAACTCCAGACACACAGCTACATAAACAGATGAAATACATATATGTTTTACCTGTCATAGGAGTTGTATTTATGTACATTCGGCCCTGACATTGACATTATTCTGCCGCACAGCACAGCCCTGTCTGGCAGGGAAGGAGACCTGATTTCTTTTCTGCTGCCGTTGGTAACACTTACAGGTCTTGTCCCTTCCCCATCCTGTGAATGGGCAGTGAATGGAGAAGCAGCAGGCTAATGAGCTCATCTCTCAGATCCCTACTGCAGGACGTTCCTTATTAGCACTTCAGTGCAATTGATTTGCTCCCTAGGCTGCTTCTCCATTTTCCAGGCTGAGCTCTGCTGTGCAGGAACTTTACGAGTCTGATACCAAGTCAAACAAAACATACATTTCTTTCCATTGAAGGACACAGGAAGCCTTAAACCTTCAGATTATTGGGTTATACTGCTGCCTACTGCTTTCTTCTCCAAAAGAAGACTCTTCTATGAACTCATCCTAGAGATTTGCAGCTATCTGGACTGGACTTTGTGGGGATTGTCTGGACTGGACACTGGGCTCTGCACTGGGCACCCTGTAGGCTCTGTTCTGGTGAAGTTAGTTGCAGAGCGTTTTTCAGAGCCAATGGCATTGCCTCTGCGCTTGTCCTGTCTCTGAAGGTTCACTCAGTGTGTAGGCGATCATGCCAAGCCTCATTGTTATTGATCCCTGGGCACTATTATTTCCCACCTCCTGTCTGCTTTGCTGTGGTATGGATTAACATAGAGCGCAGGCCTTGTCCGCTGAGTGGTGTCTTACATACACTCCATGCTTTCTTTTCTGACATATAGCATCAAAGTAGCATCTCCCCCCTGCTGCTCCTGTTGCAATGAGCCATGTGAAATTGTAATAATGTGTTCCTGCTGCCCGCCTACAGTGATTTTGATCAACTGTAAGCCAGTAGTGCCTGGAGCCGGGGATGTAGTCCCTACACCCAAAGGGGTTCCAGGACCTGTGTTGAAAATGAGGCAAATGGGAACAGATGTGGACCTCCTGGCCTGCAGCTTCAACAATTGAAGCTTGTCTCCAGGTACATCGATCCTCTAGCGGAAGCTCTGCGGGATCTGTGATATCAGTACACCACCCTGATCTTTTCTTATCCTCCCCTAAAATCCCTTCCTCCTCCTCCGTTCTGCAGGATCAAGATGGAGGGCATTCTGGTGATCCTCATAGCTCCTGCCTGACGCAGGTGGATGTGGTACATTGACCTGGTAAAACTCCAGGCAGAAGCTTTGCGGGCATTGCCAGATTGTCAGGATTTTCTGCTAGGACTTTGCCACAAGGTCTATCGTTGGACGTGTAAGGCATACTTCACTTCACTTAATATGAGTCTTGGGGCTTCCACCCCAGGAGTTACTCTGTGTGCCAAATCCTCTCCTTTCTGCAGCTGGGTCTGGACCAGCATATAGCTGTCATCACTATTAAGGGTCAGGTTTGTGTTTTTTCTATTGTTTCAGAGACTGTTAGCCTTTTATCTTTTGGTTAAAACCTTTGTACAGGGGTTCTTCCATGCCCCTCTCCCCCCCCCCGTCTGTTCTACAGGACTCCCTATGACTTGAATCAGGTTCTTTCTGCACTCCACAAACTGCCGTATCAATCTATTAGAGACATTCTTCTTTCTACTTTCACGTAGTTTGTGCTTTTCCTTGTAGCCATTATCTCTGCGAAGCGAGCGCCTGAGCTGGCAGCTGTATCTTGCAAAGAACCCTTTTTGTTTTTCCTTAGACAAGGTGGTGTTGAGACCCCTTCCTGCCTAAAGTAGTCTCTGCCTTTCATTTCAACCGGGACATTGTTCTTGCTTCAGTTTCCTAAAAAGAACATTCCCTCCATGATCTGGATGTGGCTCGGGCTTATCTCTCAGGCACTGCTCCTTTCAGAAAAAAATGAATTCCGTTTTGTAATTTGGGATGGATTCCAGAAGGGAACATGAGCTTTTTTGTTCCACTATCTCCAGGTGACTTGGCATCATGCAAGCCTATGATCTCAAGGATTAGGTTCCACCCTTTCCTGTCATCAAACACTCTGCTAGATCTCTTCTTAGAGTGCTTCTTTGGCATCTACCATTTCTCAGATTTGCACCCGGTCTTCTCTAAGATGTACCCCAACCTCATCTAATACTATCTTCAGGGGTAAGGTCCTTCAGGCAGATCTTTGAGGTGCAGGCAGTCCCCACTTCTCGGTTTTCTTGTCTAGTTAGCAATTGTTTGCTGCATTACCCACCCCTCAGTTGCACTGCTTTTGGGCATCCGAAAGGTTGAAGACTTCCTGTGCCCCTCAATGGACACAAATTATCATTGGATTTTTGTACTTACTCTAACATCCTTTTCTTGGAGTCCAATGAGGGACACAGGTCCCCCCCCCCCCCCC